GGTCTTCCTAGGCTTCAAGAGTAGCTTACTTAGGGCCATGTAAGAGCAGCTTCCCAAAGGTAAGTTTAGAAGTCCATGCCATGATTTAGACTGCGGTCATTGTGTGAGTGGAGTTCTGCTCACACAACAGGACTTCCCTCTTCTCTCCCTGCATGCCTCCCAAATCTGCTTTGGAGTACCCAACATTCGAGCAGATTTTGAGGGCGTAGAGGCAGCTGGGTGGTGGTGGGGCTGTGGTGGTGGTATGTTCTGTTGTGCAAGTAGAAGTCTTACACACGTGGAATGGCAGCACTGAATACAACCCATTGTTGCAATGGCTTTCATATGTTCAAACAAACATCTAAGCACAATGGTTCTTTCCCATTTTAACAGTTTCAGGTCTGATTTTTCTTTATCACATACAGTAGAAGGTAAATAGAGGAGGAGTATCAGAGATGCTCTATACAGTCAGCAAAAACAAGACCTGGAGCTGACTGTGGCTCAGATCATCAAGATTTTCTTATAGCAAAATTCAAGCTTTTCTTATAGCAGAATTTTCTTATAGCAAAATTCAAGCTTAAACTGAAGAAAGTAGGAAAAACCACTGGGCTGGTAAGATACAATCTAAATCAAATTCCTTATGAATACACAGTGGAAGTGAGGTTTAAGGATTTAGATTTGGTGGACAGAGTGCCTGAAGAACTATGGATGGAGGCTCATAACATTATACAGGAGGCAGCAATGAAAACCATCCCAATGAAAAGGAAATGCAAGAAAGCAAAGTGGCCTTACAAATAGCGGGGGAAAGGCTAGCAAAATGCGAGGGAAATAGTGAAAGATACAGGAAATGGAATGCAGATTTCCAAAAAAATAGCAAGGAGAGACAAGAAGGCCTTCTTAAACGAGCAATGCAAAGAAATAGAGGAAAACAATAGAATGGGAAGAACCAGAGATCTGTTCAAGAAAATTGGAGACATGAAAGGAACATTTCGTACAAAGATTACCATAATAAAGGACAAAAGTAGTAATGACCTAACAGAAGCAGAAGACATCAAGAAGAGGTGGCAAGAATACACAGAGGAATTATACCAGAAAGATATGGATGTCTCGTACACCCCAGGTAGTGTGGTTGCTGACCTTGAGCCAGACATCCTGGAGAGTGAAGTCAAATGGGCCTTAGAAAGCACTGCTAATAACAAGGCCAGTGGAAGTGATGATATTCAAGCTGATCATGGCCACTGGGCCCATCACCTCCTGGCAAATAGAAGGGGAAGAAATGGAGGCAGTGAGAGATTTTACTTTCTTGGGCTCCATGATCACTGCAGATGACAGCAGTCACGAAATTAAAAGATGCCTGCTTCTTGGGAGAAAAGCAATGACAAACCTAGACAGCATCCTAAAAAGCAGAGACATCGCCTTGCCAACAAAGGTCCGTCTAGTTAAAGCTATGGTTTTCCCAGTAGTGATGTATGGAAGTGAGAGCTGGACCATAAAGAAGGCTGATTGCCGAAGAATTGATGCTTTTGAATTACGGTGCTGGAGGAGACTCGAGACTCCCATGGACTGCAAGAAGAACAAACCTCTCCATTCTTAAGGAAGTCAGCCCTGAGTGCTGACTGGAAGGACAGATTGTGAAGCTGAGGCTCCAGTACTTTGGCCACCTCACGAGAAGAGAAGACTCCCTGGAAAAGACCCTGATGTTGGGAAAGATGGAGGGCACAAGGAGAAGGGGACGACAGAGGACGAGATGGTTGGACAGTGTTTTCGAAGCTACCAGCATGAGTTTGACCAAACTGCGGGAGGCAGTGGAAGACAGGAGTGCCTGGCGTGCTCTGGTCCATGGGGTCACGAAGAGTCGGACACGACTAAACAACAACAATCAGAGATGCAACTTGGATGCCCAACTGTTGGATATGTTGGTGCACCTGAGTATTACTCAAAATGTTTATTCTACAGTGGCCTGCTAAATATTTTTTTAGGCTGCAATCCGATGCCTACTTACCTAGCAGCATGCCGCACTGAACGTAATATGACTTACTTCTGAGCAGACATGTCCAGTACTGCATTCTAAGGATGGTAATTTTAAGTATAAAAAGAGAGAAAAGACAACTAGGTTGTATTTTTGTTAGGATTTTATATATTTCATCTGAGATATCATTTCTATAACTAGTAGCTGACCACTTCGATGGAACTAAGTGTATTCTGCCAGTGAAGTCAATTAGAACTTTGCCTGTTACATAGTTTTAACTATGTATGCAACTTTGGACCAATTATTGGGAAAGTGGCTTATGAATGATATGAATAAATAAATATCTGAGCAGGTAAGATTTCAACTTCCAAGCACTTGGTAGCATCATTCACCTTTAAAATGTCTATACCTTAGCTAATGATGCTTGATTTGGCTTACCTGTAAAACAGTATTCAGCTCAGTTAAATAATTCAGAACCAAACAACAGATCTGCTGCGCCTAGGGTCTTAAAAACACACCTAAAATATTATGATTGTCCTAAGTACAATTCTAAGAACCAGTTCACTTAAGTCCCTGACAAGAGCAAGGCTCAGGGTCACATGTGCCCCATACTATTGGTATGTCATACATATGTATGGCTCTACAAATGCACACTTCATGCAGCATGTAGTATTCTACGTATGGGGGCGGGAAGCAGGGATAGGATCAATCCTCACTCTCAAGTCTTCATGTCAATCAGGATCAAGTAACTAAGTAAAAAACAGCACTGACTTTTTCTTTAAACCTAGACTGCAGAAACTTAAAACACACATCCCTTTCCATCAGATGTTTTCATGCCAAAGGCAAACTGGGGGTCAAGGAACAATTTTTAAAAGGTGTGACACATGCTTTAATACATAGTATGAGCACTGGAGAAAGTTTACAGCCACTAAGATCATCCTCAACAACCGAAATGTGGAATGGCAAGAATGCTCTGCAATTTGGTAATAGCATAAACTATGAGTTAACCATAGATGTTAACTGTGTGGCATATATAAATTAACAGGAATGTTTTCCACTTTGCTTAAAAATAAAGGGACATTTTCAAATATAGTATAGAAGCCACGAAGAAGAATGAATTAGGCTGTAATTTTATACTCCCCTACCTGCAAGTAAGCCTCACCGAGGGCCTAAGTAGATGTGTATTGGATTGCACTGTTAAGAGTGCCTATTCATGCATTAGGCCATAAAAGTAAAACCTTGTTTGAATTCTATATTTATTTTTTTAAAAAATTTACATTCAAATAAATTGATTCAAAACAAATCTAGAAAGAGGTGGCCCATTGAAGTTTAGTTGGCTTACTGAATATTGCATATTGTACCAAATTAAAACAAAAACCACCACACACCTCATGTGCTTCATTAATCCTGTTGAAGTACTAGATACTAGGTTAATGCTTTATAAACTTGGACTTGGTAGAAATGTAATCTCAACTTTGTATAGAAATAATGCTTTACTTTCTAATATAGTTTTAGAAAACCTCTACAGCCTGAACCTATGCATATTTACAGCAAGTTCAGTTCCACATATTTCAATGGGACTTGCTCCTGAGTAAGTGTGCATAAGATTTCAGCCCTACTTATACCTTTAAAACCTATTGTTTGCCTTCCAGAGATTTTGCATGCAATATAGAAAGCTGTTTCCATTTGAATAGCTTGCTTGGAAGGCATGCTGTGTTTTCATTCTGCTTGTTTTATTTTATGAAACAGTAGGCCTTTCTGAATATGCCTTGCATGAGAAAGTGTAATCCATTAGCAGTTACTACAGATACATGAATCCTCTTCACTCTCCCTGCTGATGACTTGTACTTATCACAACTGGCTCAGATAGTCCCCAATTCTTTCTTCACCCAAGAAAAGCTAAGATGAAGGAGTTAGATTTTAGTTCTTTTCTGAACTGGGTAACCTCCATAATGACACTCAATTCCTTGTGTCTCTTAGCTATGCTTACTACTTGAAGATGACCCTGTAGGTGAAGCTGTTTCAGAGGTACACTAGAACTTTCTTTGCACAAGTGTGTGCTTGGGGCTGATAAGACAAACAATGTGTGCAACACAGCCGTCATGCATAGGCTGCATTTTTAATCATTGAAAATGTACTTCTAGAATCAGTAGTCAGTAAAAAGCTTTTGATAAAGCCTGTGGGTGCTGCACAGAAATGCAAATAAAGCTTGCACAAGAACTTCTTTTACTACAAAAACTTGGCGAATAATTGTGTTTTTTTAAAAATGACAGGACATGTTTTCATTCCCTTTTTCAGCATCATTGGTGGATCAGGACTTTTGAGTTGTTACAGGGAGGAATATGGATGGCACTCCATGGTTGCCAGCAGTTGATATTGCACACCCTGTGGCAGAAAGTGCTGGAAGAAATAACCATATTAAGAGTTAGGGCATGTTGGCCATTAGTTGGACCTTTTGGGGGAAGATGTGAATACTGCTACATTAAGTGCTAAATAAGGCAAATTGGAGAAACTTTTTTTAAAAAAGATATTTTCTTCTATTTATAAATTATTTGTTTTTGAACATTTGCAGAATTTTTTCTAAGATTGGGATACGCTATATTTATGTTGGATACATATCAAATTCAATTGCGTTGAACATATTTCTCTCCATTTACCTGTCTGCTCAGTTTTAAAATCCCTAGTTTGCTTTTAGATATTTTTTTTAAGGTGAATTTCTTTCCAGCACTGAAAATGAATTTGCACATATTTTCAAATGCACATCATGTGCTATTTGCATGAAAAAAAGCTTTTTAATTCAAATCAGAATTAGTGAACTTTTTGTGGACAGTAATGACATTAGCTATAGTGTTGTTTTTTTAAGCTCACAATTATGTGACTGCCTGGTAACTTGTACATATTGGAAGAAAAGAAAATTAGTGTAGCAAAGTTCTCCATCCATTAGAGCAAGGCAAAAACTTGCTTTCTCTCACTCCAGCTTTTGTAATAAGCATCATGATGATGTCACCAGAAGGCCACATTTACTTTCACATTGAAAGATCAGACACATGTCTAATATGGCAACTTTTAGGAACACAAAGTACAATATAAGACTGTTTTCCACCTCAAGCCACACAGAGTTCTAGCAATTCACAAAATCAACATCAGTGCTACAGAGAAACCAGTGGGGCCAAAGAAAAGTAGTTATATTTTTTATACCGTGTGTTGTATTTTCCTCAAAATTAGCTCCTCAGGTTTCTCATCCAAGATTCATATTAAAAGAAATTCTCTGTTATTTTCTCCCTTCTGATGATATATGAAATTTCAGCTTCTACCACTTTAAGATATATACTTCCCATGCTTGTTTCCAAAGGGATATATAATTTATGACCGGATTTCCTACCAGGACAGCCTCTGATTTTGTTTGCTTGCTTTAATGCAGACACAGCTGTTCCTCAAGCACAGCCATTTTCGCATGCAAATGAGACAGTTGGATGCCAACCTACTTAGACCTCAATGTAAAAAAATACTAGTTGTGTGTACAAAAAAAAGCAGCATGGATACTATCCACTAGGCTCATGACCCTCTGCACAACTCCAGTGAGCCCTCTCATTAGCTCCTGCTGTACTGGCTGCAAGCTTAGCTGCCAAATGAACAAATGCAGCAGAACTAAAACACTATAAATATCTAGCAAGCATTTCAGTAACGTGAGAGAACCGGACAGTTTTGTTCTTTAAAAAGTGCTACACTCTCCTTTGCGATGGATGTTAAAAAATACCTCAAAACTGATTAGAAGCTTGAAACCCAAACATCTGTTTGAAGAAAGCAGAATATGCTGGCAGTTAAATATCTGCAGGGCAACTGAGAATCCAGTACGATTAATGATTGTGCTACCAATTCTGCCACACAAACTTAGTGCAGCTACGGTTTCTCACTATGAGGCCACAACACAAACCTTTACAGATTAAAACACACATGAATACATTACTTTCGAGCTCTTTCTCCCTTCACTTGTACGTTAGAATCTGACTAGGAAAAGGAAGTTTTCTTAGCAAGGAATCTGCATGCATATGGTATTGTAAAAATAGACAAGCATGCCTACCAAACTGGAAGAAAAACTGTTGCTGAAATAAAACACAGTCTCTTTCTTTTATACCCACATAAAGATGTATTTGTCAAAAGTTATCACATTTGTGTTTTAAACTGCTTATTTGAGCCCAACCCACCAGAAGGTTCTCCTGTGCAAGACTTAGTGAAAATAACTGGAACTGCTTCGCTGCCTGGCTGTGCTTTCATTCAATTCAATAGGGCTTGCATAGGTTTCTAGTGGACGGACCCCTACCGCCACATCTGATCATGTCAGACAAAGGGGAAGGAACTGAAAGCTTTTCCAACACATGCTTCATCATAATGGAAGTGTATCCAATAACTTATATCCAGACCTTTTAAAAAAAATCAACTTGTTTTTACAATGAAAAAGTGGGTGGGTGGGTGGGTGGGGTGGCTGGAGATACATTTCTGTAGTTGGGGGAAGTATGCTATAACCACCACCACATTTACTAAAAATGTTCTGGAGTGAAATCAATCAAATACTAGGAAGATAGACCTGTTCATTCATATAACTATTTATATGACATACTAAGGGCTAAAGAAAAAACGGAGTGAATTTGCAGGTCTTTAGTTAAACTTTCTTTTTTGAGGCACCCCCTTTCTCACAGCAATTAGCATGGTATTCAGATTGTATATATTGACAAAATGTTATCTACCTCTGAAAGCATTGCGCCATTCAACAGTACTACTATTAAATTTATATACCACAGTTTAAATTACACCCATTTCATGAATGGTAAAATGCTAAAACTCAAGTGTCTAACTGCCAAAATACAGCCTTACTGGAATGAGTACAATTTACAAATACAATAATTACAATTTAAAACATTAACAATATTACATCTAGAAGTAAATACTGTAGGACTGGTCAACATGGCATTTTCTGAGGGAAAATGTTGAAAGTTGCTGACACTTCCAACAGAAATGTCCCAAGTACAGGATTTAGTTTTTCCTCAAACAGCGTATAAAACCCGTTCACCCACAGCAGTCCTCAGCTATATGGATTTTCCACATACTTGCATAAACTTCTGTTAGTTATCTGCCAGGTATTTTCCTGCAAGGAAAGTGGTAAAAGGTATGTTAAAATAAAAATTTCATAAAATTAATAAAGCTTGTATTTATTTTTATAAACATGGCAATTTACAATAAGCCACTGTTCATGGCTTACCAGGACTGAGCAGCATGCTTTTCCACGCTAACGAATCACTCCCACCTGCTTCTCCCTTGGAGTGACTGGGACCAACAAGTCATGAAGACTTGGCTTGTTGAAGCAAAGCCCAGTGGATTGTTTCTCTCTAACAAATGAAGGCATGACTTGTTGATAATGACTTATTAGGGCAAAACAAGCCACAACCCCAAGTTCAGACCTATTGATAAGCCAAGTCTTCACCACTTATTGTTCAGTCCCAATAAGCCATTAACCATGGCTTGTCGTTACATGCAAATTGGCCTATCAATTAAATTACTTAAGTGAAGGTGCGGCCTAGGTGGTTGATGACATTATCATGAAATGTGGACTTTCAGGTCTGTCCCTCTACTGCAGTTGAAACAAAACTAGATTCTTGACTTCACCTAATAATACAAATTCTTCAAATCTTTCACCTGGCAATAGTCTTCAAGTTACTTTTCTTTTTTAATTTTTTAAATATATATTTCTATTAAGTACAAATTAGAAAACATACATATTTACAACAAAAGAAAATACAAAACAAAAAGAAAGTACATAGTCTTCAAGTTACTGTTTACAGGAAGGTTCTTCTAATAACAACCTGAGAAATATACTGAATGATAGCTAAATCAAGCTTGCATGTTCTTTTCCTTTTCAGAAAGATTGTGAATTACTTCTTTAGGTCCAGGTGCCTCAGACCGGTTGAGATCTCGCAGTGGGGCACAAGAAGGGGAAGAGATCAAACAACTTTTCATATCTTATTCATATTGGAGCTATTCCTTAGACAAGGCACAGGAAATCCAAATATGCGTGTTGCATCCCCATAGGACACTAGTGGCCAGGGTGGTGGGGAGGAGCTGCCCTCCCAACACCAGAGTCACTGCAGCTGACCTGGGCAGGTCTACACAGATGCCCTGGCAAAGCCAGTCCGGCACCCACAGTGGTGCATCTGTGCCATCCCAACCTCACCACTGCTCTGCTCTGCTCTGCCCCACCCCTCTCTAAGGAAACTGCAGTGATGCTGCTGTTGGGAGGGCAGCTTCATGACTCCACCCCATCACACCATCTGCGCCATAACTTCTTATCAAGAAGCAACTTCTTATCAAGAAGCAAGAAACTTCTTATCTTGAAGCAGGAGATCCAAAGGAATTCTCCATGATGGTAAAAAGGAAAAGGTGGTCCCATATGTATGCATGCACCCATGTGTGCTCACAGCTCAATAGAGTTTGAGCAATACATCAGGCAACAGCTTGGTTTTATAGGATGAAACCTAAAAGATGCGACCAGCATCCCATCCCCAAATCCTTAATTACAGTGGGAAGCATGCATTTTTTAACAGATGGCATGATGGGATGTAGGTACCCAGACTAAATAACCTTGGACACTGACCTTTCCAGACCTAGCCACCCAGCTCATTTTGCTGATACACCCCTACCCCCACTTAGAAGAAGAAAATTTAAGGCGCCTCTATAGAAACAAACAAACAAAAAATTTACCTGCTGCAAACCTCTTTTTAATAAGTGAAAAACGATACCCGGCTCCAACAAGTTCAATATCGCAACTGGACAGAGTGGTCCCTTCGCTGGTGAATTGCACAACCAGGGGGGAAGGTTTGCTTGGTCCCTCGGATAACTGGAATCGTGCCAGCAAAGAGCCCACACCTTTAAGGTAGAAAATACAGCAAGTATGTTACAAAAATGTAACACAGTGAGAAAACCTATGTGCATATAGGAGACTCACTGGCAGGGGGATAAGCTTTCATCTTGCTAATTGTTAAAGCCAGATCACACCACTTCCCCTTCCTCCTCCTGAGCAACTGGTGTTTTTAAGCAGCAATCCTATGCACACTTACCTGGGAGTAAGTAAACACCATTGAACATAGTGGGACTCCTAGGAGCCAACTCCTAGGGGCCAAGGTCCCTTTAACCCCCCAATAAAATATTTGAGGGGGCTGCCCCCCCAGTTGATGGACACTGGCATTCAAATACTGTGTGTGCACAGCATCTTATGACTGATTATGCTTACCTGCCCACCTCATATTTTATTCAAGTTGGCTCGCCCGATGGAATTTATTTCTGAGATAACATGCATAATCACACTGCACATACCAGTCTCACCAGTTTATTCGTATGCTTATTGTTCGTAATAATTTTGTAACCAAACCAGTACACAGCAATAATGAAACAGTACATATTTTTAAAAAATTCAAAATAAATTCATAAACGTAATACGTAAATAGCAATGGCATTTCAGTAATTAACTCACCCCAATAACATGTTAAAATAAGTGCGCAGCCCAGGAACTCCTGGCTTTATTGTATTGTTTTCAGTTTCATGTAAAAACTATCCATGGCTGCACTGTTCAATGAGTCTCCTCACTCCACACAGTGAGACAGGAGTGAGAAGACACATGTTAGTATGAGTAGAGGGAGAAAACGTAAGGCCGAAGAGGCTGATTTTTCAGAGGAGCATGTAAGCTTGCCTTATTACCTCCATTCTCTGATTTCTGTGAAATATCAGGAATCCTCCACAATATCTTTTGCTGTTCAGCATTCCTAAAAATGAAAGAAAGCTTGTTCATATGAGTTTTGGAATGACGGGACACGTAGCAAGCAAATTAAGCACTACAGGAAGCAGGCAATCTGAAATTAGCATCATTCAGCATAGAACGTCAGCACAGAACAGTGTAGTTCAGGAACCATTCCAGTTTATTGTTACAGTGCTGAACAGGAAGTTCCCATAACTATTTGCCTTGTGTAAAGCTAGCATCCCCACTACCTTGGGGCAGCCAACTTGGTGCCCATTATACACTGTTGTACTACAGTTTCCCATCAGCCCCAGCCACCATGGCCAAGCAAAGGTCAGGGATGATGCAGCCCAACACCATCTGAAGGGCACCCGTGTTTGTTTGATTTTTGGTCAGAGGTTTCCCTGAGAAAACCTGCTCTTTAAAGCTGAATCGGAGCAAACTTCCGTTTGGGTTTTGTGCAGATTGATGTTTGCTCCAATTGAGCTTTACAGAACGGGTTTTCTCAGGGAAAGCTCTGGAATAAAAAAAAGGGTGCTTGGACACAGAGCTTTAAATCTCAGACCATGCCTGGAAAGAGCAGAGGAAGGGTAAGCGTGGATAAGTTGTCGCATTAAGTTTCTTTCTCATTTGCATACAAACGTTCTAAATGCTACAGTTATTCAGACAGAACTGTGGAAAAGTTTTAATCACATAATGACAAGGGCTGATCAAAAACAGTTTCAGGTTGTCCAATGGAACCACCTCCAGCCATTAAGAACAGTGCATCTCTGGAGTGAGCACTGGGAAGGATCAAAGACCAATTCAGATTCATACCAAATAGCAGGTGGAAGCACAGCTTGAAGTTTTGTCACTCCTCCATCTATGGGAACAAGGAACTGCACATTGTTTAAAGCTACTGGTGTAGTCATTGCCTCTAGATTATATTTGTAGTCAATGCGTAGATCGGTGCTTGTAGGCTCACACCGCCAGTTCACTGCAAGGTTCAATGGAGTAGACTGAATACCCTGGGCTGATACCTTATAAGAAAGAGAAAGGGAAGTTTTCATAGGCAAAGTGTAGTTATAAACTTTCAGATTAAAGGGGTTCTTTTGGCCTGGAATATACTTTGCATTGTTTTTACTTTTCCTTTAGTACAATTCAGCATGTCCATTCATAAAAAGTTGTGTTTTTTTGGGGGGGGGGAGATACTGAAATCAGCAATGACTAACAAAACGGAACTATATTTATCCAGCCCTTATGCACATTGAACATTTCACCAGATTATATGCTGTAAAAGGTATTACCTGATATTTAAGCATATCCACATTATAATACGTTGCTTGTGGTTTCTGTTCAGATACTTTCTTTAAATGAGTCATCAAATTTGGCATGTTTACCCAGAATTCCTTTGCGTTGGCATCAGCTTGTGTACTGTCACTGCATCCATTTAGGAAAAAAAGAGAGAAAATGTTAATTTTGTAAATGGAAAACTTTTGTCAACAAGTAATAACACGAAGAGGGGACGCGGGTGGCGCTGTGGGTAAAAGCCTCAGCACCTAGGGCTTGCCGATCGAAAGGTCGGCGGTTCGAATCCCCACGGCGGGGTGCGCTCCCATTGTTCGGTCCCAGCGCCTGCCAACCTAGCAGTTCGAAAGCACCCCCGGGTGCAAGTAGATAAATAGGGACCGCTTACTAGCGGGAAGGTAAACGGCGCTTCTGTGTGTGGCTCTGGCTCGCCAGATGCAGCTTGTCACGCTGGCCACGTGACCCGGAAGTGTCTCCGGACAGCGCTGGCCCCTGGCCTCTTGAGTGAGATGGGCGCACAACCCTAGAGTCTGTCAAGACTGGCCCGTACGGGCAGGGGTACCTTTACCTTTACCTTAATAACACGAAGAGCAGGGTTGGGGAACCTGGGGCTCAGCTAGGTATTGGATTACAACTCCCAAGCCCCAACCCAACTGTAATGTCCAGTGATCAGGGATGAAATACCACACATCCTTCTGATGTGTGTTATATTTGTAGCATGTTCATTGTGTTAAGAAATGATGTCAAATTGTAATGGTCTTACTGGGGCAAAATTTGAATGCAAAGAATGAGAGACAAGAGACTGATTCAGAGTCTTCAGCAGCACTGGCCGCTAGCAAACATAGCTGAACGATCAGATGATTCACAGTGAGAAGCTGAAGAATGGCAAGAAGGTTTCTAGCTATATTGTTAACAGTCCCATTTTCTTCTAGAAGTGCTGAATTTGGCATTGCCAAAAACTGGAAAGCGAAATAGTCATTTATTAGAATGACCCATGCTCAAGCTGATGGTGATCAACATGAACATTTTGTGTTTGCTTTCTGACAATAGCTTGACAAATGAGCATGCTGCTCATCTGTGAAATCACTATACAACAATAAAATAAAACATTGTGAGAGTTACCGTTTCAACAACAGAGTATAAACTCCACAGGTACTTTTGTATGTTTTTGACATACAAAAATATACTGAAAGGTTTTAGATATTTATAAATTAAGAATGCTATTGATCTCATTTATGATCTATGCAAAGTTTTTTGTGCGAAAGTTACAAAAGCAACTTCCTCCTATAAATCTATAAGAGTTAATATAGAAAGATATTTACCAGCAAAGCAGTTGGGGGTTTGGCAAGACGTGTTCTAACCTGTTGTAATTTGTTACACGGAATGTTAGAACAGCAGGGGCGGGATTATTGGCAAAATGTCTAGTAATTCCTGCAGGAAACGACAGCACCATCTCTCCAGTAATCTTCACTATGCATCTTTAATATCAAAAGAAACGTACAGAAAGAGAAAGAGAACAATTCATTCAGGTACATTTCCCTATACTTGGAGGAAAGAAAACTTTTTATTTGATTTTTTGTTGCATACAAAAATGTGTAGGCACCGAAAAAACAGGTAAGTAACAGAGAAAAAGAAAAGTAATACAGAGTTGTGAAATGAAATAAAAACAGCAAACCAATATACCAGATTACAGTCATACTTCACTGAAGATCAGATGATATTTAAATACCCCAACCACGCTGAAGATTGAGAAACTGGAGCATTTGGTTTTTTCCTCTTGCCATAGTAATATCAGCATTCCCTAATTTATGAAAGCATTCAACAGAACTCTGATTGCATCATGCTAGGGTCCCCTTTTTGCAAAATAACTGATCCCTGTGTCCTCTCCCCACTCAGTACAGTGGTACCTCTGGTTATGTAATTAATTCATTCCGGAGGTCCGTTCTTAACCTGAAACTGTTCTTAACCTGAAGCACCACTTTAGCTAAAGGGGCCTCCCGCTGCTGCTGCGCTGCCGCCGCGCAATTTCTGTTCTCATCCTGAAGCAAAGTTCTTAACCTGAAGCACTATTTCTGGGTTAGCGGAGTCTGTAACCTGAAGCGTATGCAACCCGAGGTACAACTGTACTTGTTTACTGAAATATTTGTCAGCTGCCAAAGAATATTTTCTCCAACTTTGTTGCTGGTTTTACATCACCAGTCCCTAACGTGCAGCCCACCTACAGGCAAATAAAGGGATGTTCACATCAGCAGCTTAAAATTCAGTGAGGTTGTTTCCCACTGCTGCATTTGAAACCACATTTGCACAGTGCTGTTCATACTAGAGAGGGGTAATGCATTCAGCCAAGGAGTGCAGCCTTTTTTTGTTTCCCTGCCTTCTCAATCGTACACGCCATTCTTAAAGTACTAAGTGAATGCAGCTGGACTGAAGTTCAATTGAGAGAGGGAAATGCATCAGACAACAGTATTTGTCAGGAAGCTACAGCACCAATATGGGTTGAGGCTAAGGTCGGGTTCTGAATTTGGCTTCGGGGGGGGGGGAACTAGCAGTGGGAGTACACAGGATGCAGAGTAAGTGGTAAAGGTGAACATACTCTAACTGTGTAAGACCAACCCTGAACTGTCTATTATTGTATGGGGAAGAGATGGGGGGGGCAAACAATTTGATACCTACTTGTTAGGATCTGCTCCTTTGAAGTATGCATTAACTGTTTCAGTGAAAGCTGCAGCTACGGGAAGAGTGTCTTGCGCACCCATGGTTAAGGGGCTGGGTCCTCTAGAAGAGCCTGCAACCAATGAAAAATAGTCACTTTTTATGCACACAGAAACCTTTTCGATTGCATCAAGTCAATGCCATCAAGGGAAATGCAGAGAAATGCAAAGAGAAGGCAAAAAAACAGTCATTTTGTAAATCAAGCACTCTACCGGCAAGTTACGTCAACTTTGTTTCTGGTCTAAAAAAATACTTACGTTTTTCTCTAAGCAAAAATCAAAACCAAAGCTTTTAATCACTGTTAGTAGCAGTGTGTATATGTGTGTGTGTTTAATGCAAGCCAGGCACAGTTTCGAACTTCAGCACCAGAGCAATCCACAGTGAATAAGAGAATAATCAATGTAATTTTGTTGAAAGGAAACTCCTGGGAAGAAAAATCAGCTGAAACCAGTGAATCCATCAAGGCAGAACGCAAGAGACAAGAAGCGCAGGCGATGCAGTGCAGTTAGTAAGACGGCTTAAAAATGTTTTTAGCACTGGTGCTAGTGTAGTGTTAGTTTTCTCCCAGACTGTCACTATTTTGCTGGAGGGGTTCAATTACACACTGGAAAATTGAGATCTGTGCAATTCAGGTGGATTAAAGCACACTTGTGCAACAAACCCACTTTTAAAAAATAAAAACAACAAGCAGTCTTTTCATGTAAGAAAAGTGAAGGGGAAAATGCATTAGAAAGTGTATGATAATAATTGACAGGAAGTTGTATAACCTGCACAAAAAATCAGGATGAAAGTTCAATAAACAGTGGGTGTTGTATAACCTTCACACACAAAAATCGGGGTGGGGGGAAGCTTAATAAAGAGGATGTCTGGAGGTGCCCCTTGTCTCACACTAACTTCGCCCCCACCATGGGAGGGGGGTAAAAGATGTACCTTTGACTGTATGGGGTAATAGCTAACTTGCAGGAAGACCACATCCTCATTTAAAACAGGGTACATGTGCAGTCCTGCACTGAAAAGGCAGAGTTCATCAGGAACGTTAATTATTTGTTTGTTGAAAAGGGGAGCCATTTGGGTGGAGTATCCTGGTGATCGTCGTGGTTGGTTCTTGTTTTTTGAACACTTAAAATGGCTACTTGAGAATGTGGATAATTGTCTGGGTTTATTTAATGCAGTAGAAACCTTCTAATTCATTACTTCATTCGGTTTGGTGACTTGCAATATTTCAGTGCCTGGACTTTTCTTCGAAAGCTGATATCCATCTGATTTCAATTGCCTATCCAGAGATAGATCTTTCCCATGGACACAATTACTGAGGTTCAAGGAAGGAAAAAACAACAAAGCAGGGGCAGTTGTGGGTGAATGCAGGGTCTCACCTATTCCTCTTTGGGCAGTTAAATAAGAATCCCATTAAGTCCCAAAGAGGCCCTGTATAAAACTGCTCTTTCAGCAGTAAGGCCAAACTAGGTATGTTGGGCAAGCTGCCCAAATGTCTGTCCCATTCACATATAAAGAGGGGCAGGGGTTGGGTTGCCCTATTTCAAAAAGTAAAAATCCAGACATCAAAGTTGTTGAGCTTTCTTTGGCAAAATTCCCCCACAAAAATGTCATTTTTGAGCTATTTTTCAGGAACATTGGCAAAAACAACACTGCTGACATGGATCAACATGCGTCCGGATTTTCTCGGACATTTTAACAATTTCTGCCTGGACACTGCTTCTGACTGCAGTATTCCGGTTATGTTCGGGAGGTTCCTGACATATGGCAACCCTCAAAGGGGGTGCTGAAGAAAAGGGACACAGGAAAGGAAAGGAAAACCTACATTCTCTTCCACTTGATGTTGCTGGACTCCATTGCTTTAAGTTGTTTTCTCTGTCTAGTTCTACTACTGGAACTAAGCCAACCTGGAAGAAAATGAAAGCTCTGGAGTACAGAGATATAAAGTGGAGGAGAGCCAACTTTTGCTCTTCTCCCTCATGCACTCCTTTTCACATATTGTCTCCTAACCATGATTTATAGGTGAACAGGGCAGACATATGGATAACATACATATGGCAGCCTCATCACACCTAGTTTGGCCTTTTGAGGAGTAAATGACTGCAGGGAAAAACCAAGAATTTCACGTATTCAATTGAAGAGTAGATGAAATGCCTTGTTTACTCAGAATGGAATCACAGAGGAACATATTTGGCAACAATTGCCTTATGTCTTCAATTAATGTTTGGCAAAGATATAGCAAGTTGCTCAATGGGTATTACAATAGTTTAAAATTGTATGAATTAAGAGTCTCTTCCAAAAATATCCCGAACATTTTGATAAAATAAGCATTAGTGTGGTCATTCTGGAAGCCTGCACACATTTTAACTCTCAAATCTCACACTGACGTAAGAGGGAAAAAGCAGCAGCCTAGGCACAAGGGAAAATTATTTTTATTTATGTGTACTGAACCCCTATTTCCACTGAAATATGCTCAGCAGATGCTCAACAGAAAGTCATGCTAAACCAAAAGCTAGCTGCTGAAGATGTGATGCTTTATCTGGGTCTGGCTCAAAAGAAACAGCGATTGCAATGACAAAAGAACAAAAAATAATTGCATGTATTCTCCCACTGTGAGCAGACGTGATCAATACCATTGGTGTTATCTGACTAAGTCATGTGCAGAGTAGATATGTGTCTTCGGATATCACAACCCCATGGTTTTGCCATTCCGGTAAGTACTGTATTTTTCTGTGTATAAGACTAGGTTTTCCCCCTAAAAAATAATGTCAAAAATGAGGGGGCATCTTATACACGGGCCATCTCCCCCCATTTTCTTAAATCTGAGTCCCCCAAAATAAGGGGCGTCTTATATATGGGGGTGTCTTATAGATGGAAAAATACAGCAAGTCTCCAGAGGATTAACAATATAGTTAGTCGCTCAAGAAAGCAAAAATCCAATGCAATTCTCCCTTTATTTCAACAGGTATTCCAGAATGAAGAATAGAAAAATTGTGCAAAAACCTATAAATATGGTTTTCATTTCTCACTGGAACACAACTAATCTCCACATAGGCTGGTAGGGTTAAGTTATCTCTCATTAAGACGGAAAGGTTGAAATATAAAGAGGAGCAAGTAAATGAACTCCATGAAGCATATTTTAGACTTCCCTCTGGTGGTGGCTTCTGGCCTTCAGGACTGGTAGGGCAGAAAGCAGGGAGATATACAATAGATGGAGCTGGAGTCAATGACAGAGTCTGTAAGAGGGGCTGGCTGAGGTTTGTGGGGTAGTGCTCCATTCACTGTAATGGACATGCCTCCACTGCTTCTTCCTCTGAAGTGCCTTTTTTATATCTATTCCCACCATGACTATATAAATATGGAAGAAAGGACTAGTCTATTAATTCCAACTAGGTTCCAAGTCTATTCTGGAGCTTAATGATGAAAAGAGAGAGAGGTTTCTTCAAGACATCCATCAAGACCAAAGGAATGTCAGATTACGGGGTCTAAACAGACAGCAAAATAAAACTATTTTTAAAAGTTTCCCCCACACCAACAAGTTTCAAAGTATTGTAAAATGTATTGTGCCAAAGAATGTGGTAAATAAAAGTTTCCCCCACACCAACAAATTTCAAAGGATTGTGCCAAAGAATGTGGTAAATTTAAGTGAATCATACAACCAGTACAATGCCACATGCTGAAATAATACTTAAGTAAAATATAGTTGTTGTTGAGCTGGACATAATAACAAGAATTTTCTGAGGGGGAAAGATCACAATGAAACTCCCTGCTTCCCCTTCTAGGGCAGCGGTGAGGGGCTTCTAGCTGGTGCGGCAAATTAAGTCCCAATTTGGCCTGCAAGACCAATTCCCACAAATCGTGCCAATTCACAACCAGGAGCTTAAAATGGCATTCAGCCCGTTTGTCTGCAGTAGCACCAAAACAATTTTCTAAATAAGCTACTTCCATAAATGATCAGGATATTTTTTCTCCTTCTTCTTCAAAAGATGAGGAGGGGGAACCCCCTGAAGGTCCTTCTGAGTAGAAATTATAATATGAATAAATCTACCATGTAAATCAGATTACACTTCCTGGTCTCTGTTGCGTTTCTCACCAAAACCCACAGAAACATACCTCATGAGGAAAAGATTAGCTTTCCAGAGGATATGAATACATATAGAATTGCCATACAGAGTGCATTTCAAAAGAGATTTTTTAAAATTCTGGTTGTCTATTTAGCTAGAAAAAGTAGCACTAAATGCTTTGTAATATATACGCAAGCTTTACTATTTTCTTTTACCCTGCGATACAGCGCTACTGTTGTAATAATTCAGTATGCAGCAGGTTGTGGGTTATCTGTTTACCACTTATGCAAAATATCTGGAAAATAACTCTGGCAGGAGTTAGGAGGCCAGCAAGAAAAACAATTACCATCATGATGTTGCAGTCAGACACCTCCCCCCCCCAGCAGTTCACACGGTGTCATGATCAGTATTGCATATTAGTCTGAGGAGAGCCTGCTTAATTTAAAATCTCTTAATGTGGCTAACAAAACCTGGGAAAATGTTTTCCCAACACGCTTGAAAAAGAACACCCATCTTTAGATGAACACCTCTGCATAGTCATGTTCTCTTCAGTCATTCTCAACCACACACCCTTATGATATACTAGGGATAAATATGACAATTACAAAAAGAAAGTTCATTTTCTAGTGTGTTTTACATTATATTTTCTATCATTGTATTGTTGAAAATTGTCCTTATTCTGGTCAAATATTTAAACTATCAAAAGTGCTTCTGATTTGAAACAAAGAGAAGATATGGGGAATATATCCCCCCCCCCCCGGGATACACAGAACTTGGTTCGATGAAGATTCAACCACCATGAAATTTAACATGCAGATATTACGCTTCACACGGAAGGCTCCACTGTTGCTTCTGTGTGAGGCTTGCAGGTCTCTTCTCTAGCACTCTTCTGCTAGAGGACAGATGATGACTGGCCTTTGTGATTCCACCTCCAACAGCAGCACTGTGTGATATGTGGAAACTGTCCCTGTCATGGTGTATAAAAGGGCCATGTATAACAGCAGAACATCCTAAG